TTGACAAAGGGCAACCTTGGCGGAACCGGGAACAAGCCCGACTTACTGCCGGCGATGCGGACCAGGCTCTAACACCGGTCATACAGGGACCTAACAGCCCGTATCAAAGGGGCCGGTACCCCATACTCCCAGAGTACTTCCCACAGGGTTCCCCGAGGGACGCGGTCGAACGCCTTCTCCAAGTCCACAAACATGTAGACCGGTTGGGCAAACTACCACGCACCCTCCAGGACCCTGCTGAGAGTGTAAAGCTGGTTTAGTGTTCCACGGCCAGGACGAAAACCGCACTGCTCCTCCTGAATCCGAGGTTCGACTATCCGACGGACCCTCCTCTCCAGAACCCCTGAATAGACCTTACAAGGGAGGCTTAAAAGCGTGATTCCCCTGTAGTTGGAACACACTCTACGGTTCCCCTTTTTGAATAGGGGGACCACCAACCCGGTCTGCAAATCCAGGGGAACTTCCCCCGATGTCCACGCAATGTTGCAGAGTCACGTAAGCCAACACAACCCTACAACATCCAGAGCCTTAAGGAACTTCGGGCAAATCTCATCCACCCTTGGGGCCCTGCCACCGAGGAGCTTTTTAACCACCTCGGTGACCTCAGCACCAGAGATTGGAGGGCCCGACCCAGAGTCCCCAGGCTCCGCTTCTTCAGTGGAAGACGTGCCGGTGGGACTGAGGAGGTCTTCAAAGTATTCCGCCCACCGAGCCACAACATCCCAAGTTGAGGTCAGTGGCACACCACTCCCACTATAAACAGTGTTGGTGGCGTACCACTTTCCCCCCCTGAGACGCCAGATGGTGGACCAGATTTGCCTCGAAGCCATGCGGAAGTCATTCTCCATGCCTCTCCGAACTCCTCTCATGCCTGAGTTTTGCCTCAGCGACCACCCGAGCCGCATGTCGCTTGGACCGCTGGTACCCATCAGCTGCTTCCGGGGTCCCACAGGCCAAAAAGGCACGATAGGACTCCTTCTTCAACCTGACAGCATCCCTCACCGACTGTGTCCACCATCGGGTTGGAGGGTTGCCGCCGCGACAGTGTAGTGAACTAAGCCTGAGGTCAAATCCTGACCTTAAGGACCTTATGGGACAGAAACTGTCATTTCATTGATTTGAATCCAGAAATACAGGTTGACCCATCCTGAGACTTTCTTTCTTGAATTGATCAAGTGAAAGAACACTATTTTCTATTATCATTACTATTTTACAAATGTTTGATAATCGAAGTGTTTTTAGTTCAAACCATTTTTAGATGTTGCAGTGAACTAATCATTTTTAATTCAACTGTGAAACAGTAATAATGATTTTAATCCTCATGCAAAGTAGAATTCATGTTAAGGTCTGTTACAGAGTACTTATGCATTTTCTGATTTTCTGTCTTTGAATGAGCAAGTGTAAGCTGGTCCAAGGTTGGAGTCAAACGCAAAACAAGTTGTTGGAACGAACCGTCATGTTTTTAAAATCCTCTCAGACGTAAATATAGAGGTTGGCACCTGTTTTCCCCCAACCCGTCTAAATATTCCTCTCGTCTGTCTGAAAAACATTTTCAATCTGTTCCATAACATTCTTGCTGTTTTTCTGACTCCTAGTGACCTCTTACGTCACAAAAACACACCACTGTCTGGTCGAAACGACCAATCAGGAAACTCCCAAATGAACCGGAAGTAGAGCTCTTTAAATGTCGGAACTTCCTAGTTCAAACCAGAGTTTTGGAGTCGAGCAGAGTCGAGTGGAGTCGGGTGGAGAGTCGCTTCAGGCTTCGGCTTCAGTCGCTTGCCGCTCCAGTGCTGGGAGAACAGAAGTCCAACATGATCCAGAGCTCTTCGAGTCTTGGGGATTATGACATCTTCCACCTCTGAGTGGAACTCTGACGGACTCCACTCCTGTGAGTCCACCGAGAGGTGAACCTGTGCCGGACGGAATACCGTCGCTACTTCGGACGATTCACAGCTGTTCCTACGGAGACGCTGAAAGGGGGCGTTAAATGGAACTCCGTACCCGTGGAGACGACATCTTCAGGTAAAAGAGTTGATTTATATCACCTAAGTGTACCGGGGAAGAAGCTGAGAACTCACCGGAGAGTGCCGTTCTGATGCCGACACACATTTCCCTCATCCATCTTTTTCTCTCAACTTAAACTTCAATTTCCATCTTTAAACTCTTCTATCTGCTAGAAATCATTCCAGATATTTTTAGAAATGTCTGTTGTACAGCTGGAAGCAAGGTTTTCAACCATCGCCGTATGGTTAATCAAATTGTACAGCTTGCTAAATTAGTCATGTTGTTATTTTCATATTTTTGCCAAATTAATGTAAATGTGTGATGTTAAACTTGATTCTGTAAATAAATGACCACGTTCATTTTGAAGGGTCAAAGATAATTAACGTTTCCGTCCACATTTTATTAAATTCAATGCACGTTATTATTCAGTCCAGAAAAATGAAAGAATCCGTTTAATTTATGAATATATATCATGCATATGTTCATCTACAACAGGCACTGACAACCTTGCGGCCGCAGCTCTGGTAAGCCGCCTCGACAATAGAGGCACGAAACATGGTCCACTCAGACTCAATGTCCCCCACCTCCCTCGGAACATGTTCGAAGTTCTCCTGGAGGTGGGAGTTAAAACTCCTTCTCACAGGACTCTGCCAGACGTTCCCAGCAAACCCTCACAATAAGTTTGGGTCTGCCAGGTCTGACCGGCATCCTCCCCCACCATCGGACCCAACTCACCACCAGGTAGTGATCAGTGGACAGCTCCGCACCTCTCTTCACCCCAGTGTCCAAGACATGTGGCCGCAGATCAGATGAGACGATGACAAAGTCGATCATCGAACTGTGGCCTAGGGTGTCCTGGTGCCAAGAGCACATATGGACACCCTTATGCTTGAACAAGGTGTTCGTTATTGACAATCCATGACGAGCACAGAAGTCCAACAACAGAACACCACTCTGGTTCAGATCAGGGGGGCCGTTCCTCCCAACCACACCCCTCCAGGTCTCACTGTCATTGCCCACATGAGCATTGAAGTCCCCCAGCAGAACAAGGGAGGTGCACTTTCTAGTACCTCCTCCAAGGACTCCAGAAAGGGTGGATAATCTGAACTGCCGTTTGGTGCATAAGCACAAACGACAGTCAGAACCCGTCCCCCCACACGTAGGCGGAGGGAGGACACCCTCTCATTCACCGGGGTGAATCCCAACACACAGGCACCAAGTTGTGGGGCAATAAGTATGCCCACTCCTGCTCGGCGCCTCTCACCAGGGGCAACTCCAGAGTGGAAGAGTGTCCAGCCCCTCTCAAGGAAACTGGTTCCAGAGCCAGAGCCATGCGTAGAGGTGAGTCTGACTATTTCTAGCCGGAACCTCTCAGCCTCACACACCAGCTCAGGCTCCTTCCCCACCAGTGAGGTGACATTCCACGTTCCAATAGCCAGCTTCTGTAGCCGAGAATCAGACCGCCAGGGTCCCCGCCCTCGGCCACCACCCATCCCACATTGCACCCGACCACTTTGGCCCCTCCCACAGGTAGTGAAGCCATGGGAACGTGGTGTCGTCCAGCCACTGAAAAATATTTCTCGGCACTTACCTTGAAACAAGAATGTTCGTCTGCTTCTCCTCGGGGAGGAGAACTCACCGAGACGGCAGGAGGTTGGCGTGGCGAAACCCCAGGCAGCCTTAACAAATGTTGTGCCAGTCAAGCTGGACAAATTCCCTTCTGTTTTTCTGACAGTGCTATTAGCCTGCTGAAGAAAAATGGGAGCCGATTACCCGCTCTTAACGTAATTTATACGGACCGGATGGGGCCCACACAACAGGTGGACGTGGACTAATTTTTTCAGTGCGATGCTTTGCATGACGGGATTAACCCACTAGCGACACCTCTTAAAGGGCGAAGCCTATACGAAATAGAATTTGCTTGTTTGCTATTGACTAAATACTTATGTTCCACCATAATTTACAAATAAATTAAAAAAAAATCCTACAATGTGATTTTGTGGATTTTTCCCCCCTCATTTTGTCTCTCATATTTGAAGTGCACCTATGATGAAAATTACAGACCTCTCTTATCTTTCTAAGTAGGATAACTTGCACAATCAGTGGCTGACTAAATACTTTCTCGTCCCACTGTATGCTTACATTGTTTATTTTAGGTCCTCTTGCACCTTGCAGAGATCAGTGTTTTAAGTTTTCTCCAAAGCAAAAAAGATTCTTAACTAAAAATGTTGCCTCCTCGGTGAACTGTGAGGCTAAGGTTATCAGAAAAATGCAGTTTTCCAAGATATTTTGTGTGTAGTTCCCAACTTTCATTAATAATCTGTGCTGTGACATGCAGGGAACCATGTTAAAAGTTAAACGTATCTTGTTGTTGTTTGTATGACACAAACTGTCTGGAGCTCTTTACTTATTTATATCAAACCAAAACTGGTTGCAGAGATCTGGAATATATAGTCAAGTATGAACAAATTTTTCTTCTTTTGGCTGTTCCCCTTTTCAGGGGTCGCCAAAGCCAACTAACTCGTACGAGGACTTGGTAATTGTTTTTACGCCAGATGTCCTTCCTGACAACTACAGACTACCGAGCTACCACATCCATCTGTGTGGAGCAGAGACCTGCCATCTAGGGCACCCGGGGGAGCAGATGGTGGGAGTTAAGGGCCTTTCTCAAGGATCCAGAGTGGGGCAAATGAGGGTGGAGGCAGGTGTGGGTGATTCACCTTTCCCACCCACATTTTGATGCTTTCAGTTCCGGTTGAACCGGCAACCTTCCAATCACAGGCCCATCTTCTTTAACCTCTGCGCCACCACTGCCCTCAAAATGTTTTAACCAAATCCTTGCTTTGAAACCAAAGCAACTCAAACTCTGCAACTTTGTGTCTTAAAAAAATCCATGCAAACACACTTGCTCAGTTGTTAGACCAACGATTGCTGAATGAACATTTTGACATATTACCCAATCCTATGGTACATAAAAAGGAAAACATGCATACCCCTTGTGCACATATGTTGTAGCGTTGTCTGGTTCCAGTTCAATACACTTGTCATACATTTCATCAGCTTTTCCAAACTGTTGCTGATCAGTCAAAGCCTGAGAAAAAAAAAAAGTTTATTTCTAAATTATTTAAACATGCGTGTGCATTTTGTAAATACGATTTTAAAAAAGTCAACTGTCAGATTGCAATCCAGTTTCAGCAAATATTTCAATCAACTCAGGATACAATGTCAAACCTAATACAGTATGATTGGTGAGACACAGTCTTTGTTATTCCTTTTACAGTGAGGAAAATAAGTATTTGAACACCCTGTGACTTTGCAAGTTCTCCCATTTAGAAATCACGAAGGGGTCTGAAATTTTCATCTTAGGTGCATGTCCACTGTGAGAGACATAATAAAAAATGTAAAAAAATCCAGAAATCGCAACGTCTGATTTTGTAATAATTTATTTGTGTGTTACTGCCGCAAATAAATATTTGAACACCTGCCAATCAGCAACAATTCTGGCACTCAAAGACCTGTTGGTCCTTCTCTAAAAAGTCCACCTCCACTCCACTTACTATTCTAAATTAGAAGCTTCTGTTTGAGGTGGTTAGCTGCATAAAGACACCTGTCCACCCCACACAATCAGTAAGACTCCAACTACTAACATGGCTAAGACCAAAGAGCTGTCCAAAGACACCAGAGACAAAATTGTAGACCGCCACAAGGCTGGAAAGAGCTACGGGGTAATTGCCAAGCAGCTTGGTGAAAAAAGATCAACTGTTGGAGCAACTATTAGAAAATGGAAGAAGCTAAACATGACTGTCACTCTCCCTCGGACTGGGGCTCCATGCAAGATCTCACCTCGTGGTGTATCAGTGATCCTAAGAAAGGTGAGGAATCAGCCCAGAACTACACGGAGGAGCTGGTCCATGACCTGAAGAGAGCTGGCACCACTGTTTCCAAGGTTACTGTGGGTAATACACTAAGACCTCATAGTTTAAAACCATGCATGGCACGGAAGTTTCCCCTGCTTAAATCAGCACATGTCCAGGCCCGTCTTAAGTTTGACCATGACCATTTGGATGATCCAGAGGAGTCATGGGAGAAAGTTATGTGCCCAGATGAGACCAAAATAGAACTTTTTGGTCTTAATTCCGCTCGCCGTTTGGAGGACGAAGAATGATGAGTACCATCCCAAAAACACGTTCACTACTGTGAAGCATGGGGGTGGAAGCATCATGCTTTGGGGGTATTTTTCTTCACATGGGACAGGACGACTGCACGGAGAGGATGACCGGGGCCACGTACTGAGAGATTTTGGGGAACAACCTCCTTCCCTCAGTTAGAGCATTGAAGATGGGTCGTGGCTGGGTCTTCCAACATAATGACCTGAAGCACACAGCCAGGATAACCAAGGAGTGGCTCCGTAAGAAGCATATCAAGGTTCTGGAGTGGCCTAGCCAATCTCCAGACCTAAACCCTATAGAACATCTTTGTGGAGGGAGCTCAAACTGTGTTTCTCAGTGACAGCCCAGGAACCTGGCTGATCTAGAGAAGATCTGTGTGGAGGAATGGGCCAAAATCCTGCTGCAGTGTGTGCACACCTCGTAAAAAACTACAGGAAACATTTGACCTCTGTAATTGCAAACAAAGGCTACGGTACCAAATATTAACATTGATTTTCACAGGTGTTCAAATACTTATTTGCAGCAGTAACACACAAATAAATTATTAAAATATCATACATTGTGATTTTTGGATTTTTTTTTTATTTTTTTTTTTACAGTAGACATGCACCTAAGATGAAAATTTCAGACCCCTCCAAGTGGGAGAACTTGCAAAGTCACAGGGTGTTCAAATACTTATTTTCTTCACTGTATTAGTACACCACGATATGCCAAACCCTTCTCAAATAAAAACTGTGCACTTCCAGAGAAAAAAAAGATTTTCTTTTACTTATACCTGAGCATAAAGAGCGTAGCCCTCAGCACATTTTGGAAACCGACGGATTACATCCTCAAAGCCATCTATGGCTGTTTGTACCTGTGCCGGGTTGTTTCCAGTATATGCTTGTCTGTACTGAAACATAGAATAGAGGGAAAAAAACTCACCAGCCAGTCTTAAAATCAAATAGAATTACAAGTCGCATCTCTAAATCATTAGCCAAACAGCCTAAATAAAGTTAGGTGAACAAATATCTGAGTTAATTTTTAGGTCAATACTCACAAGAGCAAAGCACTTCTGTGCCTGAGCCAGAGCAGAGTCAGGTCTGAGCCGTATGCACTCATCAAAGTCTCCCACTGCTTCATCCACCTGATCCAACAAGATCTTCAACTGAGAGGAAAAAAACCCAGACATGTTGTTACAGGGTGTGAAAAAAACATCCAGCTCCACTGCATCAACCTGAATTACTGCAGAGACGTCAGGTCAGTTATTGTCATCCAACACCAAATGTTTGGTTCAAACTAGAGCTGATCGATATACATTGTAGGATTGATACAACAGTAGGATCAATATTTTAGGCTGATATAGACGTTTGGGGATTTATCAGTATCGGCGATGATGGTTCCATTATTGGCTGATACAAACACTTCTAATTTTCACCTCTAATATGCGGGGAACACGCTGTAATTGTACAATGTGTCCAGCAGAGGGTGCATGAAGACTACTGTCAAGCCATAGCCATTCACTAAGTTTCACAGTCAGCACAGACGAAGGAGGGAGCAATATTGTGCGGTGTATTTTGCTGAACAGACCATGGTAAGTTTATTTCAACTGATCTGTAAAATAAATTAAAAAATCCACAACAATAATAAATTCTTTCCAATCCTCCAACCCGCTTGTCATTAGCTACGTGCTTCTAAAGTTAAACAAGCTAATGTTAGTGTGGGTCTGCTCTCCTCACATGTGACTATGTGAAGCTAGACAGCCAGTGAACAAAATAAAAAGTCCTCAGACAAGGCTTGCTTTCTTGATTTTACTGAAGATCTTTTATGATTTTTGTAAAAAGACAACAGTCTCCCAAGACACAAGCGTATAGGGCACATTTAGTGTGTATATAAGCTGTTTTCGCCTTTATTTTCCAAAGCACTTGTTTTACTGGAGAAAATACATCAAAGATATAGTGGGCTGAGATAAGTAGAGGTAGGGCAGCCGACTTGCGACCAGAAAGTCGTGGCTTGACTCCCAGCCATTCCCACATGTTGTGGTGTCTCTGAGCAAGACACTTAATCCCCAATTGTTCCCCGGGTGCTCAATAGCTGGCCACTGCTCCACCTGGGTGCATCCCAGGTGTGATGAGTTAAATATAGAGAACCAATTTCGTCATTGTATGAGAACATACAATTACAATTGTTACAAAATCCCTAGTTTAACTGCGTTGTTCTGAGCAGGAACTGTTTAGTGCTGAATTCAGTGTTTTTTTTTTATGTTAGGCACCTTGTTGGGCAGCAAAGGGGTCCTTGGGAATATATACCGAGTTGTTCATTGCGACTCTGTTTCTTTTTACATTGATGCCCGTCTGTGTTTGTGATAAAGTTGAGCTGTAACGAGTTGTTAATTATCACTAATTTTTTCATATGCAAATGAAGTGGCAAACATGCATATGAAGCAGAGAATTTCAGCACTAGTATATGTTAGTGTCACTTGTGTAGGAGTGTCATTTAGTGTTTTATTGTTCTAATTGACTTGTTAACAATTCATTTAAGTTGAAGCTAGACCTCAAGTTATTTTGTGCTTGCTTGTCTTCTCAATTATGGCCCGTTTCAAATAGTAACGGTACAGCACTGTTCGACTCGACAAGGTTCCAAGGCTTTTCCACTAGCAATGGATCGTGGAATTGGCCCATTTTTTCAGTACCATTTTCTCTGGGGTTCCAAGCGTGCCGAACTGGCACTAAAATGTGACGTCAGAACACTGTCGGTCACTGATTGGTCAGGAGGTGGAGTCACTGGTTGTTTAAGAAACTTTCACATCAATAACTTGATCCACCATTTGCAATAACTAACTTGAGGAGCGACTGGACCTATTTTTAAGATTTTTAAAACAATAATGTCAACACAGTGGTCTAATGCTTAACTGCAGGCGTTTTTTTTGTGCTTGGTGGTCGACGACAAAATTCAGAGCGGGCTAGATGGATGGGGCGGCTGAATGGTTAGAGCAGTCGTCTTCCAATGTGAGAGTTGGGGGTTCGAATCCACCAGCAGTTACATGTTGAAGTGTCCCTGGGCAAGACACTGAACCCCTCATAGCCTCTGATGTGTGTCCCATCAGTGTATGAATGTGATCTAAAAGCACTGATTAGTCTCATTAGAATGTTTTGTTCAATTTGCATTGTAGAGATCTGGTAGAGTGCTGAATGAATGGGTAAATGAGGACACAGATTGTAGTGTTAAGAGCTTTGAGTATCTTGAAATAAGATAGAAAGGTGCTATATACAGGTCCTTCTCAAAAAATTAGCATATTGTTATAAAGGTCATTATTTTCCATAATGTAATGATAAAAATGAAACTTTCATATATTTCAGATTCATTGCACACCAACTGAAATATTTCAGGTCTTTAATTGTTTTAATACTGATGATTATGGCATACAGCTCATGAAAACCCAAAAAGCCTGTCCCAAAAAAGTAGCATATCATGAAAAGGTTCTCTAAACAAGCTATTCATCTGAATCAACGACGTAACTCTAAACACCTGCAAAAGATTTCTGAGGCTTTTAAAAACTCCCAGCCTTGTTCATTACTCAAAACCGCAATCATGGGTAAGACTGCCGACCTGACTGCTGTCCAGAAGGCCATCATTGACACCCTCAAGCAAGAGGGTAAGACACATAAAGAAATTGCTGAACGAATAGGCTGTTCCCAGAGTGCTGTATCAAGGCACCTCAGTGGGAAGTCTGTGGGAAGGGAAAAGTGTGGCAGAAAACGCTGCACAACAAGAAGAGGTGACCGGACCCTGAGGAGGATTGTGGAGAAGGGCCAATTCCAGACCTTGGAAGACCTGCGGAAGCAATGGACTGAGTCTGGAGTAGAAACATCCAGAGCCACCGTGCACAGGCGTGTGCAGGAAATGGGCTACAGGTGCCACATTCCCCAGGTCAAGCCACTTTTGAACCAGAAACAGCGGCAGAAGCGCCTGACCTGGGCTACAGAGAAGCAGCACTGGATAGTTGCTCAGTGGTCCAAAGTACTTTTTTCGGATGAAAGCAAATTTTGCATGTCATTCGGAAATCAAGGTGCCAGAGTCTAGAGGAAGACTGGGGAGAAGGAAATGCCAAAATGCCAGAAGTCCAGTGTGAAGCACCCACAGTCAGTGATGGTCTGGGGTGTCATGTCAGCTGCTGGTGTTGGTCCACTGTATTTTATCAAGGGCAGGGTCAATGCAGCTAGCTATCAGGAGATTTTGGAGCACTTCATGCTTCCATCTGCTGAAAAGCTTTATGGAGATGAAGATTTCATTTTTCAGCACGACCTGGCACCTGCTCACAGTGCCAAAACCACTGGTAAATGGTTTACTGACCATGGTATTACTGTGCTCAATTGGCCTGCCAACTCTCCTGACCTGAACCCCATAGAGAACCTGTGGGATATTGTGAAGAGAAAGTTGAGAGACACAAGACCCAACACTCTGGATGAGCTTAAGGCCGCTATCGAATCATCCTGGGCCTCCATAACACCTCAGCAGTGCCACAGGCTGATTGCCTCCATGCCATGCCGCATTGAAGCAGTCATTCATGCAAAAGGATTCCCGACCAAGTATTGAGTGCATAACTGAACAGGATTATTTGAAGGTTGGCGTTTTTTGTATTAAAAACATTTGTCTTTCATTGGTGGGATGAAATATGCTAATTTTTTTGGGACAGGCATTTTGGGTTTTCATGAGCTGTATGCCATAATCATCAGTATTAAAACAATTAAAGACCTGAAATATTCCAGTTGGTGTGCAATGAATCTGAAATATATCAAAGTTTCATTTTTATCATTACATTATGGAAAATAATGACCTTTATCACAATATGCTAATTTTTTGAGAAAGACCTGTAAGTACAGTCATTTACCATTTACCATTTATCTCCACCGGTCCTCTCCTCGGAGCCCCCTAAGGGCATTATCTCCCTGGCTCCAAGTTCCGCGGGTCACCGCAAAAGATCCTCCATGCTGCCAACCCATGGGAGCATGCAAAGCTAGGGCGTTCGGGCCCCGGCCTCGTGCACTCCTGCTCCAAGATCCACTGGTCACCGCGGAGGTGCATATGAGCTGCCGACCCATTGAACCATGTGAGACCGGGGCCTGCCCAAGCCATGGCCTCACGTGCTCCCGTGGGCCGGCAGCACGGAGGATCTTTTGCGGTGACCGGCGGAGCTTAGAGCCAGGGAAATGACGCCCTGCCCAGCCTGAAGGGGCTACGAGGACAGAACCGGTAGGGACCAGTGGAGCTCCATCTAGCTCGCTTTGAAGGTCGGACCCCGAGCCCTGACAAACAGGTGGACTGGGACGGGTCTGGGAAGGAGGGTGGAAACGATTTTTAAAAACATTTTATGTATAAAAAATGTTTTTTTTTTTTACCAGTGACAATGAAAAAAATAAATAAATGGTGCCGGCTTTATCATGAAATCCTGTTTTCACTTTAATGACTTTATTAAATAATCTGTTAAAGTTTCTCAGCTGAAAAATCATAAGAAGACAAATTTATTGGATCTCAGGAATATTACCTTCAAATTAGAGCTGGACAATAATTTGATATAGATATATGTCGCAATATATTTTTATTCAATGGTGATATGAGTTTTAGCACATTTTCAATATTTTAATATGATTACAGCGTTTCACTGATGCATTTCTTTTTCTGCTTGGGTTGAAGTGGCCGCTTTAGTTTCAACCCGGACAGAAAAAGGTGCAACACAACTAACTACAAGTGCGTGGTGACGTAGATGTTACTCAGAGCTAAAGTCCAGAAGGAGTCAGCGGGGCAGGCTAGGCTAGGTTAGGCTAGGCTAATCTCCAATGTGCCTTAAGTTTTTGCTTCAAAATGAGTGCCTACGACTGTCAGAATGTGACTGAACAAGCCTTCACAAGCGAAGAGAAAGCAGATGACATCACTGATAAGAGAGGAAAGACTAATTTGGTGGTGTGGAAGTGGTTCGGCTTTCTGTGAGCCAATAAACTGCAGGTTTCAGTGTGCTGCAAAATGTGACGGAGAGTCGTTCCAACTAGTGGTGGGAACACATCTAACTTGTTCCATCTGAACAGTTTCCACTCATTAGAATATGATGAGTCACAATGAAGCACTATAAAAGTATGAGCCAACGTGTCCCTGAAACGACATCCCCAGCTG